CACAAATCAAGTTAAGCATAATCCACAATTTTCAGGAAAAATTCTCTTGACAGATGATGCTACCTTTACAAGAAGAGGTATCTTCAGTTAGAAAAATATTCATCTCTGGTCACAGGAAAATTCCCAATAAATTCGTGAGCACCAGTTCCAGTGCAATGTGTGGGAGGGAATAATAGACGATATTTTAATAGGTACGCATTTCTTGCCGCCTCGACTCAATGCGGGCACATTTAATTGAACATATTCCACTACGACTGAGAAGGAACATGTGCTTCAATTAGATGATTGTCCTGCTCATTACGGAAGAGGTCCACGACAATGGCTAAGTGTTAATTATCCCAATCAATGGATTTGCCGTGCAGGAACAGTAGCTTGGCCTGTACCCTCTCCCGACCTGACACCGCTGGATTTTTTTGTTTGGGGTGACAATAAACAAAAATACTATGCAAGTCCCGTCAATGACCTTAATTCTTTACCAAGAAGGATAATTGAATCTTGTGAAACAATAACACATACCCAGTGTCGTTCTGCCACTCCTGCTGTTGAAGAAAGATGCCGAGCCTCTCTGTATTAATTCTCAAGGACCTCGAACAACATTTAATATGAATTTGATGTTTAAATTTAATTAATAATCTAGTTGGAACAAATAAATAAGTCTTATTTACTTACTATAACGTAAATATTTCATAACAATGAAAATCATTAGGTGTGAATATCTCCTAAACAAAGCGTTTGCGGATCTACCTTCATAGCATTTTTTTTTTCCTGTTTTGAGGTCCTTATTTAGCCACTTTACCCTGAAACACCCTGTATATATACTAGTGAGGGAGCGAGGTAGTTCAGTGGGTGAGCACTGACTTCCAGGACTCAGGGTCCCATGTTTATTTAATTGTGTTATTCGTGGCTCAAATTGTATAACTGTAATTTACATGTATTATGTAGTTCAGATTGTATTCGAGCGTAATAAACTCGCGATTTATCACCCTAAAAATCCTACTCTACATACTTCCAGATCATATTCTTTTTTATCAACATAAAATTAATGGGGCGAAACCACTGTTCGGACAATATCTTAATTTTGTTAAAAATCAATATTATAAATCGCCAATTTATATTTTTTTATAATTATAATCATTCTTATTGCAACTTTTCAACCATAATAAGGTACTAATTTGTATATAAGAAATAATTATGGGGGTAAGAAATGTGGCGTCTTCTTTACGGTCCGTCCCGCTTTTTTATTTTCATTGCTTAGTACTTAAACTCCAGAATGCCACCTTACGAAGGCACCAATCATATAGCATTTGTTTACTTAGACATGTGTCCATGTCAAGATCATACCGAAATCTTCACACTTTCTCTCCTTCACATTTGAAGATTTCTATACGAATACCGTATGATCCTGCCGACATATTTTGGAGGTAGCTAATCTCTTACCGAACCATCTAAAAAATCTTGTGGATCAAGGTTTCCTTCCGTGATATTTTGCACAGGATCGACTAACTAGAAAAGGTAACCCTAGAGTATGTTTTTACCCTTGTCTGTCCTATGAATGTAAAGTGTTTGTAGCGCGCTGTTTGAGCGCGACAGTTTTATCCCAGCAACCTGGTGGGCTAATGGTTAATTGCGGCGGTAGGGCTGCCACTTCTCTACGCCTAACATTTTATCAACAAAACAATATAAAAAATAAAAATAAGTATTCGTTTATAAAAACAGTATTGTCCAAAATCGAGGATTCGAATTTAGTGGCATATGAACCAGTATGACAAGAAAAACAAGTTTGTATTTGAAAATTTGTTCGTACAAATTGTTTACTTTATTTTAAACCACAGTAGAATTTATATTTGACATTGAAAGGTGTTAGAAAAGAATACTATAATTTAAGCAGAGTTGAGATTATAAAACTTGATTTATTACCTCATCCGTGTTTCTAGCTTCCGGTCCCGTTGCCTGTCCGACTGAAAGCTTTTTCTCATCAATTGAGACATTTTTGGCTTCGAATGACTTTTAAATGTAAATCAGACATTTTTATGATTCTCGAAACTGAAGAAGAAGCGCTCAGGTATTTTGTGTTTAATTGCACGATTTTTTAAAATATTTATTATTTTCTGTCAAATAAATCACCCCCAAACAAATAAAGTAGATGTGTGAGAGATGGTGGGAAAATGGCTTAATTTAAATTTTAAAAAATTTGAATACAAAAAAAAACACGACTACAGAAATTAGGATTTTCGATCCAACCATTTGTTCAAAAAGTCGTTACACAGCTTTTCGCAAATTGATTAAACTCATTTTTTTTTTTTTTTTTTTTTATCACGGGTCAGTATTTTTATCTTTAAAACCAAACACACAACCTTCGTGTCGCTCCGCTTAGTCAGGTTAAAATACTTTTACCTTTATCCTTGTATTAATGCATTTATTAATATTTTTAAATATAGGTAACGAAGCCATTGTGAGGAAGTTATACAGACACTAAGTAGACTTTTTCCAGCAAGCTTTGAATGAATATGTACAACATTATTATTCAGATTTTGACGAGCACCTAAAAAATCTAATATTAAGAAACTTTTATGGGAAATCTCAACTAATAGTAATATGTTTGAATGAGTAGAGAAAATCTGGTGCTCTATGTATCACACTGCCTTAACTTACCAACCTACTTTCAATAGAAATTAATATTATAAAAAAACTAATAAATCCTATGGATATTGCTTTAATTATAAATATAAACTTAAGGCAATTAATACAAACTAATGTTCGTCCAGCGGTCGAAATTCGACCAGTCATTAAAAATTTGAAGAAAACATAATTAAATAAAAAATAAATTGAATAAATAAAGAGTAAAGCACGATTCAAAAATCCTCATTTATTAATATAAACAAAATTTCAATTTCAATTAAAAATCATGCTTAAACTACTTAAAATTATTTATAAGTAATACAAAATGTACTCATTCAAAAATATTTAATTTATGTGTGTTATTATCATAATAAATTAATGTTATGATTAAGCAAGTAAGAAATAAATTGAAATTAGCAATTTCAAGTCACTTTAAATCCATTTTTATTCAGAACTTCTCTGTAAACAATGTGTTCTTTTTTAATGTTCTGTTATTCTTTAGTAAACAGCCTTGCCCATTGCCAGTGAAAATATAAATTTCAATATTTCAAATTAACGTGCTCTACTTACTGCCACATATAATTGTCCATGCGAAATTGCTGGACGTCGCAATAATACACACATTTTTCCAAAACTTTGACCCTGCGATTTTTTTATGGCCATAGCAAATGCAGCTAATAATAAGAACGTTGTTCTTTGACAGTCGAATGTAAGTATTGTGTCAGAAAATGTTAAATTAATTCTTATATTTGATTTCAAGTTACATTTCTTTGGTTTTATAGTTTTTACCTTTGTTATATAGAAATATATTTTTATTGTTTATTTATTTTTTTTAATTTTTTGTATTGTATATATGGTATGAATGGGCTTCACTCAGCTTTAGCACTCAGTGCCCTTAAATGTGGCAAAATGTATTATTTCTCAATAAAAAGATTTAAAAAAAAATTCTTAGAATTAAAATTCTTTAATTTAAAGTAGCTCCCGTTAGTACTTCACTCCCATTCGTTTATCATTAACTAATAATTGTGAACTATTCAAGTTAAGAATGAGCACAACTGTAGAATTTACTTAGAACATTCCAAAAACATTCAATGATATCATATCTTCAAATAATAGCCCAAATTACTTCATTAAATGTAAAATTTTCTATTTATTAAAAAACAAAATAATAGAAATCGACTTTGCGAAATAAAACGTAATAAATGTTTGAAATTATATATCTCTGCAACAAATAGTCCAATTTCGATAATTTTTTTTTATCATTTTGTAGGAAATCAAGAAAGCTTTTTCAAATAAATACTGGTATTATCAATAAAAAATGTGTACTTTTTGAGGTATTCGCAAATCAAATACTGAATTCATCATAAAAATTTATGCAGCTTCCAAGGGAAAGACTTTAGCCAAGTTTTATTGAAATCATTGAAGCCGTATTGGCGCTACAGTCTAAAGTGAACCACGTTTTTCAGCCGCCATTTCGAATGGAAAGACCTGATGTTAATGAAACGTATACAAAAATATTTCTGAATATCATTGCGACGTTGTGTCAAAATTTAAATGAAATCGGTGAAGAACTTTCGGAGATTAGCCGTTTTAAACAAACTACCATTTATATTTTTATTTACATACTATTTAATATGTTTACTTATTGATAACACTACAGCTCGTCAATATCTATTAAACAAAAAAAGAAGGAAGAAAATCGGTTGAATAATAGAGGCGTAATTCTATGCTCTTTATATATATATTTGGTTTTCGAAGGTGGAATAAAAATTATTTTTTCATAAGTTCTTTATTGAATCACCATTTTCATTTTTCATCGTGGAATGGATTATTTCTCATTCAAAATATAAAAATAGACGTTATCAACTAAAATGATTAAAAGACATGACCGTTTTGTCTCTTCAACACCTTAAGCCATTGTGTTTGCATGACGTCACCCAAGCCTACGGACAAATTGTTGTCCGCCTATCCTGACCTGTAACACCGATCACCATATGATTAACGATGAAAACCATCAAATCGCTTTTAATAAAAACAATTAAATGTACTTTATAGGTGGAGATTTTTAGAATTTGGTATTTAAGCCATTTCTGACTGTTTCGATGAGTTCACTACCTATATCATATTAAAGAGCATTCAATTTAACATTGACAAAGTGAATTTAATCTAAAACTTTGGAGCCGTTTCCGGAAAAAAAAGTAAAAATTATTAAGATCTAGGTTATTAAGTGCCAATTATGATTTGTCAGTTATGATAGTTGTTGTAACATCCCTGGTGTACGTACACCTACCTTAAATAAACAGTTTTAGTTTCTTATGAATTGTACAACAAATATTTTACTTCAGTCTGTCTAGCGCTGCAGATATAAATAACTAATGCATTTAGATGCACGTGACCTACTAAGGCTGCAGTGAGTCAGCACCTAGACTTGCACTCTAGACTCTTCAATCAGTCATCAGATCATCAATTATTGTTGTTTAGCAATAGAGTAGCCATTATTGGTCAATAAAATATGAGATCTTTAGTTCCGAAATGTTCGAAAGTTGGAACGTGTTACACCAATGTCTATGTGGTAATCAAGTGAATTAAGAAGTTAGTGTATTTATAAACATCAACCGCTGCAAGCCATCGATTCAGTAAGTCATATTTATTTTAAAGGATTTTTAATTATATGATGATGTGGTACAATCGATAAAGGAGTGAAGGCTAATTTCGAATTTATTAATAAAATGGGAATAATAAGTCATATTTGACTAACTAGTGCCCGCTCTAATTATAGATTAACGGTTTTTCATGTGGTTTCCATTATGGAGGTCAAATTGGATGTAAAATATTAATGTGATTCATTACTTTTAAATTAACTTACATGACAACTTTCACATTTCAAGGTGTCTTATAACATGGGTTCAAGATGTAATAAATAAAACAAAACTTGTTTATTTTACTTACTATATATTCTTTCTTTTTTAAATCTTTTTATTGGTAAATAATACGTTAATACACTGAGTACTATAGCTGAATGAGGCTCATTCATAAAATATATGCAATACAAAAATAAAAATTAAAAAAAAAAAATCATATAAATAAATATATATCTATATAACAAGGCAGCTACTATAAAAAAACAAACAAGGAAATGTAATTTGAAGATAAAATTAAATAAAATAAAACTATATATTCTTAAATACCCATTTTATCATCACAACAACAAGTGGTTGTTAAGAGAATCGTTGCAATCAATAACATAATTCCATATCATTTGCCATCCTTAAGTCCAAAATAGTAGAATAATAATAATAAATAATAGTAATAATTTAAAATAATGCAATTCAGATGGGAATTTTCAGCTAAGAAAATGAGTGACGAAAAAACCAAACACACAGATAACTGTAAATTTTATTTTAATGTGTGCGGACTTTATCCTTATTTACAATTAACTTATCTGTTTTATTCTTTGACAACAAACCTTGAGCACTTCTCTATCTACAAATGCATGGAACTATTTTCGAATAAAGTTTTTCTTTAAATTCAGAATGGGGGTAAATGCTAAGTATATTCAACAACTTACAGTAGTAGCAGTCAATCTGTAATTTAAATACTGGTAGTAATATTTTTTTTTATAATCCGTAAATTAGATTATTTCTTACTGAATAATTCGTATTGCACCATTCATGAAGAGTTACTTTTCATTCAAAAGATGTGTACAAATTACTATTGGATGCATTTTGGCTAAAAATGGCCCGACTCCCATGATTTTTTTTTCTTTTTAATTTTTCCGGAAATTTGGAAACTTTTCTGACAACAACCAGATATTAATGAATGTAATCAACCGTAAATAGTACACTGTTTGAATCAAGCGCAAATTTCTTCATAATTTTTATCCTGGCTTTTATAGAGGATTTTGTTTTCTTATCTGAAGGAGATGGTCATCAAAATGACGATTAAATCATTGGATTTGATGTAGAATTATTACAACTGTTCAACTTAACAAGATCTGTAACCGATTTATCAATGCAATGTCCGATTTTTCCATTCTCTTTAGTCTGGGAACTGGCACAAAAATTGTTGAAAGAGGTTTACAATTCAGTTAGGTAAAATATTGAACTATAGCTGAGATAGGCTGTAAAAATTTAATTTAAAAAGTATTTCTATAATGGTTCGCATTTAATTTTACGTTGAGATAATGTTGACGAATCATCAAATTCTAACGTGAATCTAGATGTTTTTTTTTTCATAGTTTCAGCTAATTACTTGAAATTCAATTAATATATATAATAACTGTCGTGATTTGAACAGTTCTCAATGGGTTTTCCCGTTTTTTTTTCTATTGACGTCCATTAAATGAAAGAAATGAATGACATTTCAAATGAAATAACAAATGATGTAACATTCGAAATGAATATGCATATGAAGGCACGTGCAAAGAGTCTATTTAAACTAGTGAATGAATTTTGAAACATAATAATGTTCGGAAATATTTTAAATTCAAATTGCCAACTTGATAAAGGGGCTAAAATAAAAGACACATGAAACATGAATTCATATTTTAATGAAATTGAAATAAAATTTCAATTATAAAATTTAGATAAATCAAGAATTGAAAAAATAAAAAATCCAAGTTTATATTTTTAATATTCTTATATAATATTCTTTACCCATGTCCATCCATACCGCTTTAAAAATTGCATACCTATTCATTTGCAAAAGAAAAAGAACAGATTTTGGAAAATGGGCCCATTAAATACTGAACCCATACTTACTAAAACAGTATAAAAACAGTATATTTTGTACTTCAAGATAATCTCTTTGTTGCGAAATGTATAAAGTTTCCCACAAACATATTTGTTTTGTTTTTTACTCTATGTTGTAGTTATGTATAAGTTTGTTTTGCATGACAGTTTAATCAAATATGATATGTCTTTGAAGATGTATTTGTAAAAAACATTTTTATTGAAAATCCTGACTCGCTGATCCAATGAATTCGATTCGCGATTTTGGAACATCTAAATATAATTAGCTTTAAATGAAAATTATTTATAACGAAAATCATTATTTTTATTTGAACTTTGATAAATAAATAAACATTTGATAAATGTTTGATAAATGAACATTTGATAAATAAATGTTTCCAAATGTATAAAGAACATTTAGTTTTTAATTTTTATGGTTTTTAGTTTTGAAAACAAAAAAATTATAGACAGTATTAATAATAATAATTCATCTTTTATTTATTTATTCAATTTTGGTTTATTATTTTCAATAATGAATCATTGTAATCGACCTACGAATTCAAAAACTTTACCGAAAATTTTTAGGTTTTACGTTTCAGGATTCGTAGAATTTGAAAATAATATATTTTTTTTTTCCTTCACAGATCGCCGTCCGCGCATTTCCTCGGATCTAATGATTTATTTTCTAATTTAGGTTTAAAGTCAGGGGTCACCCAAGGATGATCCTCGTACATCGGTATTACTATCCGCCTTTTCCTTTCAAGATGGCGTCCGAAAAACCTGTGCTGCCTGATAGACTGTAGCGCCTAAACCAATGGACCGATTACAATGAAACTTAGCTAAATCTACTTATTGATGCCCTTTAAATTATATAACACTAAATTATTTTGATGCCCTCATCTTTAAATTATATTGATGCCCTTTAACTATATAACATACTTCAACGAAAAGAAGCTGGATAAAAAGTTAAGACGGGTGAGGGGGAGGGTGAGAGGGGTAAAATTAGAAAGTATACACTTTTTTGTTGATTTTTAATTTAAAAGTTTACGAAATAAAAAAAAAATCGGTAAAATTGGCCAATTTAGAGCAAAGATATAGTCTCTAGATATTTCTTTATATGCTCTACTGCAAAGGTTGTATCTTTTCTTTTGGGTTTTGATTTTTGAATGTATTACTAAAATAACGCTATTTGTTTAGAAAATTAGTAATGATGGAAAAAAAAAATGTTTTGGCCAATAATTGGAATCATCTTTTATTTTTTTTCTTTGTTACTAGTAGTGTTGCCCAAATGCGTGACCAAGAAGAGTCTTGGTCTTGCAAACTCTGTCTTGATCATGGTTTTAGTCTTGCACAAGACTGTAGCAACAGTCTTGCAGTTACTTATCACCTTATTATTATAGAGATATCACTGTAATTTTTTAGATAGGAGAAATCTGACTAAGCCCAAATGAAAAATTAGAGGAGTTAAATGCAAAAGTATATTGGTTATACCAATTATTAACATATAGTAACTAATATTGTCAAGTATTAGTTACTATTTTGCATTAATTTTTATTCAAAAAATCTATTTTTTTTTAACAGTCCTGGTCTCGGTCTTGCAACAATTAGGCGGCCTTGGTCTTGGTCTTGCAACGTGCAAGACCAAGACCGATTTTGGGCGACACTAGTTACTAGGAAGATAATGTTATTTTAGATGTATAATTGTTTGGAAATAATAAACCATTGTGTGATAATTTACAGCGCTTTTTTGTTACTATATAATTACGATTTACAATTAAAACAAATATGTAGGTTATATACATATATATTGGGTTTTTACAGACCTTTTTTTTTTCTAACGTAATAAAATACGAACTATATTCAATCTAAACTAGTAACTGAATACCAATTAATTTCGCGTTTAAAGTAATAAAAAATAATACTTTATAGAATAGTTACTAACGATTTCTTCTTCTTATTAAATAAATTGTAAACTGTTTACAATCTAGAAACTACAACGTAAACAAAAAAACAATGAATTATTCAGAGGCCATATATTTTCAAGCTGAATGCAGATAAAACAAATCGAAATTCAGAATTTTAGGAAGCTCATCACGTATTCAATTACCGTCGTAATATTCAAGCTGTCACTAGAAGGCTTAAATGTCCCTTCTACATGGTCTTCGGGAACTAATTAAAGGAAACAAGATGTGTGTGCCAGTGATGGCTATAAATACCAATCCAGCTTAACCACCCACTCCTTTTGATACTCTGATATATTCACACGTTTTCAGTTTTAAATTAAATTCTATTCTGATATTTTATTTCAGTTTAAGAAATTTGCATACTGAGTTTCGTATTTACTCTCCAACTACCGTCGCAAAGTGGGCTGAGCCGCATATAGATACAGGCAAAGTAAAAATATCCTTTGTTCTAGCGGAACAAAAGTAAAAATATTCTTATGGAAATTAGCATTGAACCGGTGTTTATACGTCGATATTATTACAAAAAGAAGAATCAGTCGAAAAAAATTCGAGCAGTTTAAGTAAAATTTGTCCGCAAACATTGAGAGCCACTTTTAACAAGAGGTACTCAAAGTTGAGATTGTTTTTCCAAATATACGGGCTACATACATAGAAATAAACCTTATCCAAAAATGTTTAAGCTGAATTTATAAAAAGTTTAGGTTGAGTTATTGAGTTATAATATTTTTACAATTGTGTGGTAAATTGAAATTAACATCTGGGGACATAATAATATATATATGTCCAGTTTCTAAAAATCATGAAATTTAAATATATATATATATTTCAATAATCAATCCATAGAAATAAGTTACATAATATTTTTCATTTCAATTGGATAACATGTGACTAAAATTAATGACCTCTGTATTTATTTAATGGGACAAAAAGTATTTAATTGCACGATGCAGGTATCTCGTGATAACTTCTCTGAATATGTTCAAAATAAAATTAACCTTCTAGATATTTTAATAAATGTATAAGAGAACAACATTTAAAATGTACACCTTTAAGTTAAGATTCTTTTCCAAATATACGTTCTATAGACATAGAAATGAATCTCATCAAAAAAATCTTTAAGCTGAATTTATAAAAAGTTTAGGTTGAGTCATAAATAATAATATATATATATATATATATATATGTCCAGTTTCTAAAAGTCATAAAACTTACACACACACACACACACACACATATATATATATTTCAATAATCAATCCATAGAAATCAGTTACATAATATTTTTTATTTCAATTGGATAACATGTGACTAAAATTAGTGACCTCTATATTCATTTAATAAAACAAAAAGTATTTAATTGCACGATGCAGGTATGGCATGATAACTTTTCTGAATATGTTCAAAATAAAGAATTAACTTTTTCCTCATCCAACACGGCCAAGGATCCATCTTCTTTTCGGAGAGGTGCTTACAATTTTTTTAAACATATTTTATCAAATATATGACTAAGAAAGGAGAATATTGTAATCAAATTTCGGTTTGAGTTTTTAACTGATCTTTACTTTTCAGAATCCGTCCTCCCCCCCATAAAAAAGCATATATGGCCATTAGTCGGACTATATGTCAGTCAGAATAATAGTATTGACAATCGTGTTAGTGGACATTTTTATTTCTGTTCCGATTAAAATTTTGCTTATCTGAATTATTTGATAGTTCCTCCAAATCCTTTGCAGCTAGGTTATATTCGTCATTATTTTCCAACATATCGATTTATGATTCGTGTTATTCTGGTTTTAGTTTTTTTTATTATTATAGCTGTTTACAGAGATGCATCTTTCGACCTTGATCTATAAATATACTACTTATAGCAGCCATAAATAGATGCAGTAATCATTGTTATCTCAGATTACTATATCTAAGACACATGTACCTTACGAGTTACTGTCGTTCGCGCAGATGAAGTGGAGATAGCATGGAGATGTAGAACCGTAGAATGGAGACCGTGGCTGAAGTATAGGGCAATTACCGAGGAGATAAGGTATGTTACATATTCAATGTTGTGGCTCCAAGACGCCGTATGGGTACTAGGGTATAGGGTACACTGTAAGTACACCGATAAGGGTACTCATGGCTGATATATAAACCTTGAGGAACATCTTCCCTTTCCCCTGGGGCATACTGTAACGGGCCCTCCCGTCGGAGGCGGTTACATCTACATACATTAACCCCCCTCTGCTATCGATACAGCTCCTTTATATAATCGATTAGTCTTACATAACAAGCGAGAGGGCTTCGCATATTGCATGGAGTGAATTGGATATAATAATTGCTTGTTGCACTGTGTATCACGTAAATCATTACCAAATTTTAAATGTTTTCTTTAATTTAAACAATCAATAGTACTGATGTTTTAATCCGATTTGAATATTCCAAAAACATTCACCTAACGTCCATCGTAAATAAACATGTACTTTTTCCATTCTTTAGTTAGAGAACTCTTTAATTAATTTAAATTTATTTCTGAGGCCATTGAACTTACTGATTTTAAGCATTTTTTTTTTTTTTTATTATTGTAGCTAAAATATTTCTAAATTAATGTGTTATGCTTAAGCATAAAACTATATTGTATTGATAAATATATATATATATGCACACATACACATAAAAAAAGATAATGTTTGCACATCATATCGGTACAGATTGCTCCGTTAGTTTCTTTCAGCCTACAGCCGTCGAACAGATTTCCTACACATTCGGCTAACATCTGTACATGTCCTTAGATGGTAGTCCAAAATTAGGTAATTCCGTTTGGGATTTGTTCAGCCTGTAGAGCCTGTGGGTGGCATAAACTAGTTAGTACAGAAAATAAACTTGTTTTCTGAGAATAGGTCCTTTAAGAATAACAAATGTGTACAGATAGACATAAAATGTTACTGGGCAAAAAATTCATTAGTTAAAAAAAATAATTAGGTTAAAACACTGTACGCATTATTGGCAGTAATAATTTCACAACAAAAAAAAAAAATAATAATCCTGAGAATACAAATAACTGCCTTTAGAAAAATTAAATAAATAGAAAGAAAACAAATTAAAAATATGAATTGATCATAGAGTTAAAAATTAAATATTATTTACTTAAAATCAGTATTTTATTCTTAAATTGAAATTTGAAGATTGGACAGCGTCTTTTTTGGATGTAAAAAGGTAATGGAAATGGAGAGATCCAAATGAAAAAACGAGGGAATGGATACTAGATGGGGAATCCCTGAAAGCATTGGAGCGAACAAGAAAGGAACATTCAAAAGTTTTAGTACTGTGGGAAGGGATATAGAGGTATACATAAGAGTTCTTGTTTTATCGAAGTTGACTTAGTACTTGAATTGCACAAGACAGTAAATGTAAAAATGGTACTGGGAGTTGATAGTTAGGTATGAGCAAGATAAGATGCAAATTTGTTGGTGCAAACTTTTAATAAATACTTCGATAATGAGACAGAAGATGCATTGTTTTTAACGGGGCCAAGAAATTAATTAATCTTCAAGTTATCTATAGCACCTGGATTACAATAGTATCAGTCTGTTTTTGCAGAGAGGGAATATTAGAAATCTCCTCACTAACCAGGAATTACAATTGAGGAAGTTAATTAGGTAAATATGATCCCTAACCTTATACCATTAATTTGTCTTAACTCAAATTTAAATAGAAAATAATCTATTTCACAGGATAAGGTAAACTAATAAGCGTGTCAACAAAGATAAGGAACTAGGAAATGACATAGTTTTTTAAAAGAGACGAGATAACAACGTCAGCAAACAGTATTTATTTGAACGGTAGCTAATCGTCAGAAACAATGAACGTAATATAGAGAACGGTGTAAATCAGTTACACATATAAGTAGATGTTTATAGAAGTAGAGTAATTGAATTAGTATCTTATATCTCTAGAAACACAAATTTTGTGTTCGGTAGGTAAAGATACTATAGGGGCAACATTGAGATTGGAGGTCATTTATAGCAATACAATTTCTAAGAAAAGTTAGACAATAAAACAAACGTTAAAAACAAAAAAAATGGATTAAGAATGATCATGAAGTCGTGAGGATGGATTTATCTCTATCCTGTTTGAAAATCGAAAGATATAAATCAATAAATTATAAAAAAATAAGTTTGGTTTGCTATCTATTATAATTATGATACTTACCGATTGTTATTTTGTTCTATTTACTTATCTATTCTTTGTCGTATTAAAAACAAAAAAAAATATTAATAATTTAAAAATAAAAATAGTTTCAAATAATATTTAAACAAATATTTAAATTTGAGCCTTTTTCCTGAAATGTTCAAAAACAGATAAAATTATCACAGGCTAATTTCTGCCCAGTTATGTCTAAAAGGGTAGTATTTGGATGAACACTTTACGAGAATAGATCAATCAAAATCGATCTTGGGTACTATTGTTTATTATTATACTCGATGTTCTAAAATCCAAGATACTTCAAGAGTAATTTACATGAATGAAAAAATAGCCAAAGACGTTAAAATAACACATCAATAAGATAATATCGAAAACTTCAAGGTATAAAAGTGTTCAGGATCTACCATTATTGAATTTTGCCTTTGGAATGTTTTAATGACTATTCACTTTGAGGTTTCCGCATTGTTATTTACATTGGATAGTGTAATCCGTAAACTATAAACAAAAAAATAAATCTTTATCAATGAATTCTTACTGAACTGTTCAATCGGTGACAATTGCTGATGCAGTTGTAAACATTTAATTGCAGAGGCCTATACCAGCACTTTATCCAAGGTTATTTTTATCGGCCTGGATCAAAACAATTAAATTCCCAAGATCCATCACAAATAATTATTCTACAAACAAATATGTTACATACGAATAAAATATTGAAGATAAATAAAAGACAAATTGATTTATACTGTTTCTAATACAACTTAACGCTATTAAAAAATAATTATGTTAAACCAAAAATTGACATAGTTATATTTTGTTGGCAATGGTATAGCTTTTTTCGCTCATAAAATTGTAATAATACAAGCAATAAAATATTTGTTGGTTTATATTGTTTTGTAATTTTCTTTCAGATGTATGAGGATCCAAGCTGGTACTCCAAGTTTTCCGAGGACCATCAGAAGGAGACGAAATGGGCTTTGGGGGAGTTCTGGGACAAGCTACATTGGTCAGCTGATGAAAATGTGCTGGACGTAGGATGCGGATCTGGAGACGCGACATGCAACGTTCTTCTTCCAGCTGTGGAAGCTTCATGCAGTCATTTGGTAACCATAGTCTCTAGTTTTAGTAATTTTATATTTTAAAAAAATAAAGAAATTTTGTATATTTTTAAATGTTTTTATTTTTTTATAGGAAAGATTTGATAAACCACACAAATTCGAAAGATGCTTTATTATGAACTCACGTTTGTTGAAATATTTATTTGATTTATTTATTCATTTATTATAGCTGCATTTTTGAGCCTTAAATGTCTAGCAACAATGACCATTTGATAACGCAGTGATTCTGGGTATTCTCAGGTAGACGTGTTCTATGAGAAGCTCTAAAACCGGCAAAAGGGCAGGTTGGCGAATATTCGACGCACGGCTATATTACCAATCACCAAGACTTACCGAATTGTTTCTCATAAACTGATGCAGTTCTTAACAGGTGGGGGTATTTCTCAACCTTACCCTGTTTGAAGATTCATTAAAAATGATATTCAAAAGAGTAGGCAGAGCAGATCTTTGGAAAATATCCGGGTAAGATTTTTTGAAGACCCAAGAAAAAGTAAGTTCATCCGGGAGAATATTATAAATGAGTCAATCGCGACGGGTGGATGTCAATCACGAAAGAAGCTACCTTCAGAAAATATTTTCCGCTATCCGGAGCTGCTTGGAAGTGAAATATTATTATAGTCCCATAGCCTTAGAAAATACATAGATTTCCTATGCTCCAGATCCAGATGCAGAGCACCGAAGATTGCTGAGCACGCCATAATTAACGGCATCCACTGCCTTTGATGGACTGAGGCCCAGAATGATGAAAATAACTGGACTCAACGTTCTCACAGAGAATGAATATTCTTAACTAGTAACAGGGACAAACTAGTCTAGATTTTGCATCTTAGTAGAACATTAAAATACATTATAATATTCAAAGAATTTAATTACCTTAATCAGAGGTGCCCACCCCTAAGGTAAATCGTGCAAGAACATATCTCTCTCCTTACTCCCATGATATTTTGCTCACTTTTCGTAAAAACATAGTAGGCGAAAGTAGAATTAGAAACATCGTAGATAATATACAATTACACTTTCTGCGGTTTGTACCATGTTTTCCCCTTTTCCCTTAGTATGAAACTTATCATTCCGAAAATTCATAACATCCTAAAATATGCCCCCCTCAAACATTTTGATGGACACCCCTCGCCTTAATAATGCAGTATTTGCAAAATAAAACAGTTTTTGGTAATATCTTTATATCAACTGTTCTTATATTTTTCTTTTTTCTGTTAGCTTTATAAATCTTGCAGATCTTATCCCGTTTTAACCAGTCTCCTCCATCTTTGTCTTTCTGGGACTATGGCTTTCTAGAGATCTGCATCCAACTCTGCAGTACCTTTGTTGATTCGAGTTCCAGTTCCTGATTGGTCCTCCTCCTTTCGTTAATACTCTGATCCCAGGTTGCTCCGGTTATCGTATAGAGCATTTCTCTTCCAAATAATAGTTCTTCTGCGTATAATTATTTAAATATTGATAATTCAATAAAATTTCTCCAACAGATCGGCGTGGACATGTCGCCCCAGATGGTTAGTTATGCTCAGTCCAAATGGGCACGTCCCAAACTGTTCTTCAAGCTCTTAGACGTCTCTACCAAAGAAGATCCTCTAGAAACTTTCGATGAAGATATCAGAAGGTCTGGAGGATTCGACAAAATATTTTCTTTCTTTTGCCTTCAATGGGTCAAAGATAAGAAGTAAGTATAAAATTGACGCTCTGGAAACAAATTATGATTTATTAATGATGTAGATGGGAATAATGAATATTTAATTAAGGAAATAATTAGTATAGCCTATTAAGTAGGCTATTAAAACTAAATTATATAATTTTAAAAATAATTGAATCAACTATTAAAATCTTAATAATCATTATATTTTAGGCGTGCAGCTGATAACATATATAGGTTGCTGAAACCAGGTGGACAAGGTCATATACTCCTCGTTGTCAGAAGTGGAGTATACAATGTCTGGGACAATCTCTCTGCATCAGACAAATGGCGCCCATATCTATTGGTAGGTTCTTCTGTCTTATGGTTTGCATCACTAGCGAATCCAGGATTTAATTTTGGATGGATGGGGCTTCAGCCCGAAAGGTTTTTTAAAAATAAAAATGACGATAAATACTTTGGAAAAAAGGAAAGAAACTAACTATCTATATGAAATGGTGTTTAAGTGATTTCTTAAATCCTTTTAAATGTAATTACACGAACAATAATACTTTAAGAGATAATGTTTTAATATTTTTTTTCCCATAAAACATGGTTTTTACCATTTTGGGTGGGGGGGGGAGAGAGGGCTTATTAAATTCCTCTTCCGTATATGAAATCCTGGATCCGCTACTGATTGAAGAATATGTAATCCAACACTGCGGGATTATCTAGCCACCTGAACCTGAATAGAATAAACTGGGTTTACTGGATTTTCCTTTTCAAGTATTTTTTTCCGATTAAAAAAATGTATTCATATTTTCAAAAATACTAACTAAATTGTGTACGAAGTACTCCGGAAATTTCGTTAAAGTAATATGTTTGTATATCAAATTATTGATTATTTTTCACAGAATTTTTTATTATTTTAAACTACATTAATTCTTTTTATGCAATAATTTTTACTTTCACTTACCTATATATGAAATATATAATAGGGGACACTATTGCGATCGTGATAATTTTCGAATCTGAGTTTTCAACGAAAATACATGTTTTGCGGTCTCCTGAGTCCAAATAATGAGTATTTAAAATTTTCATATACCTAAGCTGTTAGAGCAATTTTTTTGTCAAAATCGGCTGACCGGAAGTGGCACTTTATATAATTAATGTTACATATGTTTTCTATTTTCTCAGCGATTTTGATCAAACTCGGTTTATCAGATTATTATTAAGCAGTTTTTAATATAATGTAGGTTTTATTCTCATTGATGTTCTCTAATAGGGCTTAAATGGCTAATTTTGAATATTAGCTTCCTCTAAAGTACCTTTCACAGTCGTGCTTCAGCTGTCGTCGGGTTCACATCGCGGATGGTGCTTTTTGAAGTTGCGGCATCTCTGAAGTTAGGATTAACTATAGCTCCTTGTGTAGTTGCCGCCGCCTCGTGTCTGGTTTCCAGGGACAGATAAGCTTGCTATTTTTCTTACCTACTTTACAAATATTTCTTAACTTACTTATTCAATAATCTTATTAATTGTTTATTTAAATCATTTCATTTCCGTAATATTCTTAGTTTAGTGACTTATATTCTATATTATATAATTACATATTTCTATATTTTTTAAATTTACCTATTAGTATTAAGTTATATTAGTTATATTAGTTATTTAGTTATATAGTTATATTAGTATTAAGTTAGCTTGTAATAGTTAATTGAAATGTAGTTTAGGGTTATTTAATTTATACTAATTTAAAACTAATACTTCTCCTCTACTATCATTTTATAAACATTCTTATTCTATATATCCTTTAGTAATTTTCTGCCTTTCTTATATTGTAATATGGAGGTACCTCCTGGTCCTCCCGATCTATCTACCGTCCTAACCAAAAAGAGAAAATGGGCTCGCCCTAAAATTAAATTCCCTCCGGACAAAATCATTCCGCAAATCAGAGATACAACTCCAACATATCTTGTTGCTAAACGATCCGATCAAGAAGACTTTAAAAAAACCTCTCCATTTTTTATTCAAAAGGTGATCGCTCAGTTAGCAGGTGATGTTAAAGCAGTAAAAAAGTTAAGAGACGGTTGTTTATTGATACAAACACTCAATGGACAACAATCAAACAGACTTTTATCCGTTACAGACTTTGGAGGCCAAATGAAAGTTGAAATAACACCGCATAAAACTTTGAACTATAGTAAGGGCGTTATCCGTTGCTATGACTTCCAATACATGGACCTACAGGAAATAAAGAACGAATTAACTCCGGTAATAAAAGATATTGTCAGGATAAAATCAAAACGGAATGGTAATGAAATACTTACACATAACTATATAGTTACCTTTCCAACACCTTTACCTCCAGAAACATTACAAATTGGATACGAAACAGTTAGAGTACAGCCTTACGTACCGAATCCGTTACGATGTTTTAACTGCCTAGGATTCTCTCATCCGACATCACAATGCAAAAAAGAATCAGTATGCGTACAATGCGGCCAGGGAAGGCATGGAGAAAATATAAGGTGTAATTTGCCGGCTAAATGCATAAATTGCAATGGTCCTCATAATGCCCTAGATCGGTCCTGTACCGAGTTTAAAATACAAAAGGAAATAAAAGCCATACAAATCAATAATAAAATATCACTTTACGAAGCAAAAAACATGTATAGAGAAAAAAATCCCATCCAGTTAAATAAAACATTCGCGGAAATAGCAAAAAATCAAAATAATACAAACAGAAAAGTAGATGTTGCCACTCAGGCTGATATTCTGTACTCTTTCTCAGTTACTTCAACAAACTCACAGATAAATAAACCCAATGAGATTATCTCTCCTGATGTCCAGGCCACACCAGCTATCTCTGATCGAGAGACTGCTCGACCACAGTCAACCGAAGTTGGCAGCCCCGCGCCTACCCAGACTGATCCCCTCCTCCCCTCCTCTTCTTCCCACTCATCTACCCTCCCTGCCTCTACTTCCTCTCTCTCCTCCTCCTCTTCGTCTTTCCCTTCTGCCCCTCTCCCCAACTCTTCCTCCCTCTCTTCTCCTACCCTCTCCACCTCCCTTACAAATCTCCAATCCCCCAATCCCGATCTCGCTACACCACCAGACGATAAATCTGCTGAAAATGCTGTAGATGGGGAAGGATATACCCTACAAAAGAAAAAAGGAAGACCCCGAAAAAAATCCCCAAATAAAACAAATAATAAATAAAATAGCCGACAACTAAATTACAAATATCATCTTCAAATATGTTAATATATGTTTTTTCTATTCTATACCGTAACTAAATCATGACCCTAATCCAGTGGAATTGCAATGGTATTAAAAGTCACTTCAACGATTTGAAGCTAATAATGGAAGATGAAGATCCTTTTTGTATATGCCTCCAAGAAACGCACCTAAAGCCTTCAAACGAATTCACCCTTAAAGGCTTCAATATCTATAGGACAGATTGTGGTCCAGATTACGAGCGAGCGTGTAGAGGCGTAGCCATAGCCGTAAAAGATACCGTTTATTCCCACCCAGTAGAAATAGATTCCCCACTTCAAGTAATAGCTGTTACAGTTCATTTAAACACAACATTCACAATTTGCAACATTTATCTCCCCCAAGACAATACTATAGAGACAGAACACCTTCTCCATATTCATAGGCAGTTGACAAAGCCAATTTTGTACACTGGAGATTTCAATGGCCACAACCCATTATGGGGCTCACAAGACACAAATCCTAGAGGTCGCATTATAGAAACTTTCTTAGATTTAACGAATACTCTGTTACTAAACTCCGGCGAAGCAACATACGTAAGTTCTAGCTTTGGTACATTTTCATCCATTGATCTCTCCTTATGCACTTACTCACTGATTGATAATATAGAATGGACAGTTCTACCAGAGCCTTATGGAAGTGACCATTTCCCAATTCGTCTAAAATTCAGAAGTGCAAACTGCAATAATTACAGCGTCCCTCGTTGGCTATTAGAAAAAGCAGATTGGTCACTATTCACGTCTTTAGCTGTCCCACCTCAAAATCACCCTAACAGTATGAATGTAGATGATGGGTGTAAATCTATAACTGAGACAATAGTTACGGCAGCAGAGTTCTCGATCCCTAAAACCAAAGGCCATTACAAAAGGACACCTGTCCCCTGGTTCGATAGTGATTGCAAGAAAGCCATACAACTTCGGAGAAATGCATTTAAGACATTTAAGAAAAATATGAATCAGGTTAATCACATTGAATATAAAAAACAAAGAGCTGTTTGCAGAAGAATTATAAATGACAAGAAAAAAGAATCATGGAAATCATTTGTTGAGTCCATTAACTCGTCTACCCCCTGCAACGTTGTATGGAACAAAATAAGGAAGATAAGAGGAACCAATTCTTCCTACAAATATACTCTGATATGCGATGGAAAACTATGCGATAACCCAGACATTGTTGGAAGAACATTTGCCGAATATTACTCAGAAGTTTACACAACGACTTCTAGAAATAATATGGCTCAAGATCTAAACTTCTCTGACGATAATGCATATCAAGATTACAACATTCCATTCAGCATGTGGGAACTCCAATCAATACTCCAAACTGTCAAAGGATCTTCACCAGGACCAGATAATATACACTACTCCATGATACAACATCTTCCGAAAAATACACTGAACTGGCTTTTAAATTTTTACAATCATATTTGGCTTAGCGGTAACTTCCCTAGCAGCTGGAACGACTCTATAGTTGTCCCGATATTGAAGGGTAGTCAAGATAAACGTCATCCATCCAGCTACCGACCAATATTTTTAACCAGCTGTCTATGCAAAGTAATGGAACGAATGGTAAACAAGAGACTCACATGGATCCTAGAAAAATATCATCTCATCCAAAACTTCCAATGTGGTTTTCGCAAAGGCAGATCAACTGTAGACCACCTGGTTCAAATGGAAGCCGAATTACAGTATGCATTCATCCAAGAGGAGCAAGCTATTGCAGTTTACTTCGATATGAAAAAAGCCTTCGATAAAACTGACAAATTTGCTATCCTAAACAAAATACACTCGCTAGGATTCAGAGGTAACTTACCAAAATTTATTCAAGGATTCCTTTCTAGTCGCCGCTTTCGCGTCCGTATAGGGAAACTGTTATCCAAGCAATGTAGACAAGTGAGTGGAGTACCACAAGGATGCGTTTTAAGTACAACACTTTTCGCACTTGCGGTTAGTGACTTGGGAAAAAATCTTCCACGCGGAATCAAAGTAATGCTCTTTGTCGACGATCTTGCTATTCTATACAGAGCGAAAGATGTCCTATCTGTAAAAGATAAGCTCCAAGAAGCACTGAATCGTATTGATGGCTGGTCAAAGTCATCGGGACTTTGTTTCTCTTCTGAAAAAACTAAATGTATTCACTATAGCAGAAAACGAAATACTCCACAATCGCCAGAACTTCTCTTAGGTGACGCCATCTTACCATATGTCAACACCTGCAGATTCTTGGGATTATTATTTGATAAACGTCTATCCTGGGAACACCACATAAAATCACTCAAAGATACATGTACTAAAAAACTTCAGCTTCTGAGAATACTTAGTGGAACTAACTGGGGAGCAGACAGAACTACCATGATTAAAGTATACCAAGCTCTGATCGGCGCAAAAATAGATTATGGTAGTTTTGTCTACGGTTCTGCCCGAAAAAATGCTCTAGCCAAGCTCGACTCCGTGCACCACACTGGAATACGCCTTGCAACTGGAGCCTTTAGAACAAGCCCAACCCTGAGCATTTGTGTCGAATCTGGCCTTATACCACTGCACTTTAGAAGACAGAAACTTGCAATAAACTATATTACTAAATTATACCCGCAAACTTCACACCCCTCCCATAAATATGTTTTTCAATCTAAATTCTCAAAAAGATTTAAAGAAAAAAGGAATACCACATTACCATTGGCAGAAAGAATGTCTCTTATTATAAATAAACTAAAACAAATAACATTACATGAAATAGAAAAAGAAACAGCCCCTTGGACCTATATACAACCTAAATTAAATCTCCAACTCACCCAATTCACCAAAGATACTACATTACCTGCAGATTACAAAGAAAAATTCCACAAAATAATCATCACGTTACCTGAACATCTTCTAATATTCACCGACGGATCCAAATCAGATACATCTACTGCTTCAGCCTTTGTCACTCCTGATACTACCTACAAATATAAATTACACCATCTTTGTAGTGTTTACACAGCAGAGATTAACGCCGTAGCAATGAGTCTCCGATACGTCATGAAGAAGCCAGTTGCAAATGTGGTTGTTGTATCGGATTCCCTAAGTACTCTGAAAGCTATGAATAACATGTATCCAGACCATCCAGGGATACACTGCATTCTAAGTCTTATAAAAATGCTTCATGGAGTTGGAACAACGGCACATTTTATCTGGTCGCCTGGCCATATAGGAATTAAAGGAAATGAAATGGCTGATAGAGCAGCAAAGGAGGCTCTTACTCTTCCAGGCCGCGGTAAAGTTTTTTTGACACCATCTGAACTTGCACGACCTCTGAGAGAAACCATATTCCAAGAATGGCAAAGACGGTGGGACAACAGCGCACCTAGCAAATTAAAAACAATAAAGAAAGAGGTGCAACCGTGGACCAGCTCCAAACGCAGCAGTCGTAGAGAAGAGGTCGTCCTCACGCGGCTGAGGATCGGACATACTAGACTGACTCACCTCCACCTCATAACAAAAGATTCTATCCCTCGATGTCAAAAGTGTAACCAATCACTAACTATAAGACATATTTTGGAGGAATGCCCTTTTTACACCGCAAGATTAGAAGATTTTGGAATACCCCGGAATATATCAGCGTCCCTGGGAAATCAGGAAGAAATGGTTACCAAAGTCATCAAGTTTATGGATAGTGAAAGACTTAAAAAACACATTTGACAGACTTTTTTTTTTAAATTTATTAATTTCCTTTTTATCTATTTATTTTTATTATATTTTCTCTCTTTTTTTTTTTTTTTTTTTTTTTTTTTTTTTTATTGATTCTACTGCTATTTTTTAAAGTTTATTTATTTATACATTTTTTATACATCTTATTACCTATAAATGTCTATTATTATCCTTATTTATTTATTTTATTCTATCAATCCATTTCTTTATTTTTTTTGTCCTTTTTTTTATTTTTATTTTTTGTACCAACCATCCAAATAGTATTAAGTGATGTTATTTAGTTGATCGGGCGCTTATGACCTGGATGTTTTGCGCCTAGACATCGAAACAAACAAACAAACAAAGTACCTTTCATTTTTTTATTTGATATAATTAACCATTTCAAATAAAGCTTTTATAAAAAATAGTTTAATATAAAATATGAAAGAATTTGATAAGTAACGAAAGGAGAAATATAAGATCGTAACGGATAATAATTGTAATGGAGGAACCAAAGGAATACGAGCATCCCCGAGCTCGCCTGAAAGATTAGGACATGCGTATGTAAAGCGTAGGAACGCGTAGAACGTACTTAACAGGAGCTTAATATAATACGGACTCCGACAATATTATGCATATATACATATGCGGTTGTAATAAATTCTATTATTAGTATTATTTAATTGTGTCGAACATAAATAATATACAAATTAAAATTGTATATTATTTAAAATATCCATTTGTAATTTAAAATATCCACAATGAAATGTAAATTAATACAGCGTCTATAATTTTTACTTTTACTTCCCCTTGGTCTGAAAAAAGTTATTTCTACTAAGAAGAGGGTGGTAAGTGAAGTTGTGTGATGCGCGCACCAGATCTTTCTTATTTAAAGAAAAACTTGAAACCACAAAGAAATATAAAAAAAATGGGAAATCCAACCTAAGTGGGCATCGAACTTAAAACATTCAGAATCTGCTACTCTAGGACACATGGCTTAGCTCGGCCATCGCTTCTTCTATATGAACATAACAAAAAAATCTGGTGCGCGCATCACAGGACTTTCACTTACCATCACCTTCTTAGTAGAAATAAGTATTTCCAGACAAAGGAGAAGTGAATGTAAAAATGATAGACGCTATATTTATTTACAATGCATTGTGGATATTTTTATTTGTTCAAATACCTTATATATACATATTTTAATTTTTACATCGCCGTGTTCTATACAATTAAATATTAAATAATACCAACGATAGCATTTATATATATACATAACATTGTCGGAGTCCGTATTATATTAAACTCATGTTACATATGTATGGAAGCCTGTTGTAATTTTTCAGGCGAGCTCGGGCGTGCTCGTATTCCTTTGGTTTCTCCATTACAACTATCATCAATCACGATTAATTATCAAATTATTTCATATTTTATATTTAACTATTTTTTATATTAAAGATTAATGTCAAATGGTTAATTATTTCAAATAAAAAAAAAATTAAAGGTACTTTAGATTAAGCTAATATTGGAAATTGGCCATTTAAGCCTCATTAGACAACATCAATGAGAATAAAACTTACACCATATTAAAAACTGCTTAATAATACACTAATATACTGAGTGTAATGAAAATCGTTAGAGCCTTTTTTAAGAAAATTGTAAAAATGTGTTAAATCGATAACATAAAGTACCACCTTCGGTAAGCCGATTTTGACGAAAATGTTGCTGTAACATCCCAAGCTAATAAAAACATAAAGTACGCAATTTTAGTTTCGTACGGTGTTTAGTTTTTGAGCTAGGCTGTTCACACACAGACGCAGACGCAGACCCAGACACAGACACAGATATAGACCCAGACATAGACACAGGACATAGTACACAAGGATACAGGACACAGAACGCAAGGACACAGGACAGAGGACACACAAATACAGACACACACTCGCACGCGCGCGCGCCCGAACGTATTGCGGGATTTGGTTATTTGGACTCAGGGACCACAAAACGTGTATTTCCGTTGAAAACTCAGATTCTAAAATTTTCACGATCGCAGTACTAACCCTTACATTATATTGGACATATGGGTATGTGAAAGTAAAAAAGAAAACTGCAAATCTAAATTAAGACTGGTTAGGTTTCACTCAAGTTACTTTCAGATAATTTATAGAGTCAAAAACGTTACAAATTTGATATTTGAGATGTTTTTACAAAATTAATAAAAAAATATTCAGTAATTTTTAAGAAAGTAATAATAATAAAACCGATATTTTTATATTTCGTCTACTTAAAATTTGTAAAAACAAGTTTGTTTGACAGATATTATTTTGTTGTAGATAACTAAACTTGATTTTAATAAGTTTAGTTGAACGGTATTACTAAAACATTTTCTGAATTAGATTAAATTTCCTTTTTGTAGGACGTGAATCGTCCGCTCAACGATTACATTTACATGGACAACTACGGTGAGGTTTTGTGCAAGTACTTGACGGACGCTGGCCTAGTCGTTGACGATTGGAAAGCGATAGAAAGGAAGAATGCCTTCGTCACAAAGACAGACACAGATGAAGAAAAGAGTAAGTGATAAAAAAGTATTGCAAATAATAATTATTGCTATTTATTTTAAAAGCAATAAACCGGTAATAGATGATTTATTATCCTCTAAAACTCTCTGTGAGTGACGGACCTCAGTTTAAAAACCATCAGTTCCTAGTCATTTTTATTTTCGTTACGTACACTAGTGTTATCAAATAAGTTTTGTCTTGACACTCTTGTTGAGTTAAGGAACTGTTCCTTTTCGGAATAAAGAAATTTCGTATGTAGTTTGGATTAAAATGGCGGCGCACACTGGGGCGAGCTAACGCTACGGTTGGACATTGGGTTTGGGAGAAAAAACAAAAGTTATAATTTGGAAGTTTTACTGTAATAGTGACAAACTAATATCGTTTCTCCTCCATATACAATAATATTTTGCTTAATTATCGCATTCATAATGCCCTGATGTGGGATAATAGGAGAAGAAATGAAAATCATCTTTTTTATATTTAGAGCTGGTTTGCCGGTATGTTTTGTTCAAACCTAACGGTAAGTGTTGGTCCACATTAGGTACTTCTATCGAATCCTAAGAAAGCTGAAATATCGGTTTTTAAATACATGCATAGTTGATACGACGTTTCAAACAAATGCAAGCAATTTTGATCCATTTCGCAAATCGGTCGAAAAACCAGATATACCCTATTGTTAAGACAGGTTCGGACATCTAAAAACAGTTTTCAGACATTGTTCATCCTATCATCCTATAGTTATTGAGGATTAAATACCCGGAAACGTTGTTTTTAAAGTGACTACTATTACTTTTTATTTATTTAATATTTTACTTGCGTATTCGAGTTACTATCAACCCAGGTTTTGACTAAATAATATCTGATTGTCTATACTGATCAAATTATGTACATATAACGAGTTTAATAGCTAATTTAAAAAAATAATAATTTTTTTTAGTACATATATGTAACTTTATATATTCATGTTTTATTATAATATGTCGTTATGAAAGAGGTAATAAATTATATAATATCAAATCTCCGTGATAGCAAAATTATAGGAACGACAATTCTGGTGGTTAGTGTTGCCCAAATGCGAGACCGAAACGAGTCTTCGTCTTGCAAAGTTTTGGTCTGCGAGACTCTTGGTCTTGCCCAAGAGTCTCGCAAGAGTCATGCAATTACTTTTTAGCTTATTACTATAGAGATATTACTGTAATTGTTTAGATAGGAGAAACGTAACTAAGCCCGAATGAAAAATTAGAAGAGTTAAATGCAAAAGTATATTGGTTATACCAATTATTAACATATTGTAACTAAGATTATCAAGTATTAGTAACTATGCCTTAATTTTTATTTAAAATTTTTTTTTCACCAGTCCTGGTCTTGGTCTTGCAACAGTTAGACGGCCTTGGTCTTGGTCTAGCAAAATGCAAGACCAAGACCGATTTCGGGCAACAATACTGGTGGTTGGGAGAGTACCAGATTCTTGCAAGGATAAATTTGTATATGGAGGGGAAACCTGAAGGACGAAGACCCAGTATGACTTACAGGAACCACCTGGAAGGGTTGGAAAAGACCATAGAAAATACATGGGGCCAGATGCGTCAAATATTCAAAGATAGAAATGAGTAAAGGTAGTGGACTGAGGCTCGCGCTCTACGCCGAAAGACGCCAGAGCAAGGGAAAGAAGAAAGAAGAAGTAAGAAAAATTAGTTAATATCAAGAAAGTCAATTCAGCAAATTGACATTTTCGGCCTAAAATATTAAATATTATTGAGGCGGTACTTCTGGCATACAATTACAACATCCAGTTTGAGAATCCATGGCCTATCATATAGGAAATTTTCTGCGAACTTCGGGCCGAAATCAAAGATATAATGATTTATTAAGTATTTCTAACGCTTATTTATTTACTATTATTTTTAAATCAATCTTGAATTGTGGGGAGACAAATACGCTAAGATAATGTACGAAATGAATAGAGAAAAAATGGTAAGACAATTTGGTTGAAATCGAAATCTCATTTCCTAACCCAAATAATCGAAAGAATATGTTCTACAATAGTTACTACTTGTACAAATATTTACTTTTAATAGAAAATCAGAAGTGTGTATAACTAATGGTTTCCAATTTTTGTTAGTTTCTATGTCAATTGATGTTTCTATGACATCCGAAGAACGACAAATTGCGCATTTTAGAAATCTATGGAATTTCAATCAAGTTGGAATTTCATTCGTTAATTGAAGTACTATTACGCAATGTATATATATATATATATATATACATACATATATATATATATATATATATATATATATATATATATATATATATATAATATATATATATATATATATATATATTTATTTATAAACTGAAACTCGTACCTTTGAGTTAGGTTCCTCACCTCGAATAAACTTCTTTTAACATTTAAGTAAAAAATTTTATTTTAATAACAAATTATGATTCAAATAAATATAAAATATAAAAAAAGGTAATCATAACAAACTGGAATAATAAAATATTTTAAAACTTGCTTCAGAATTTTAAATGTGATTACTTCACGTATCAATCACTGAAGGTGTGTATATATATATATATATATATATATATATATAGAGTGAGAGAGAGAGAGAGAGAGAGAAATTATATATATATATATATATATATATATATATATATATATAATATATATATATATATATATATATATATATATATATATATATATATATATATATATATATATATATGTATATATATACACACCTTTAGTGATTGATAAAGATGATTGATATATATATATATATATATATATATATATATATATATATATATATATATATATATATGCACCCCTATTTAATTTGTCTGGTTCACATTAGACTATAGAATGTTGTTGCAGGGTCATTCCGGAAGACTGAAAATGGTTGGTTTTTAAAGAAGATGAGTTATAGGAATTTCGTTGGTATTGACTTTAACATTGCAATTTTTATCATTTTTTTTTTTTTTATGTAGAAATGTATTATTAGCGCATGTCAACTTTTTGTTGACAATCAGCAAATATGGTGGCTATTCAGTAAATAATGACATGACAGGCATGGGACACAAAAGTACTAAGCAGTGCCTCTTCCCTAATTTGTTTCAATCAGTTAGGTTGTTTAAGGAAGGAGAGCTCTTATATCATGTTCTGAGGTATTTCAGCTGTGGCCATGTCTCTTATTAGTCTGTTATTATATCCGTTTAAGTTAGGGTAAAATCGTTGATAAAGGATCTTTACATCAATCATTTTGGATTTCAAATCAATTCATTTTGGATTTTTAGTTTATAAAAAATTATTTTTCTGTATGAATCAATATTAACTATTGAAACTATCGATTAACTCATCTCAACTATTTGCAGCTATGAGACTGAGGTCGGTGGACCCGTTCGTGAGACTGCTTCCAGATGAGAAGAAAAATGAGTACCTTAGCGAACTTCTGGAGACCGTGAAGGCTGAAGTGTCACCCAAAGGAGCCACCGATTACATCGGCCTTCATGTATTGTTTAGGAAAAATTAAAAAGTTACCAATGATATATATATATATATATACACAAATGTATTTTTTAATATTTTATAATAATAATAATATATAATGTTTTAAATTATTTATGAATTATTGATTTGACATGTATCTATTATTGATACAGTATTTAAGTAGTGACATGTATCTATTAAGAAATGTTTTCCATCACCATAAGATAAAAGATTTTGTCCAAGTGATTTCTGTAATATTGTATATTACAACATCAACAATTTTTAATTATTTGCAGGTAGTATTTTATGTATATATGTTGTTGTTTTTTAATGTTGGTTTTTGTTAGCCATAGTACCTCAACATAAGTTACAATTGTAGTTTAATGACAAATAAAATATTTTATTCTTTGTAAATATTTTCATGAAAATATTGCCTCACAATCATCATCAAACAGTTTTCTAAAAAAAAAAAGGTTATCACAAATCCACAAAGATTTAACTGATGTTCGTAAATAATATCTTATATTTTTATGTCTTTTTAATATGTCATATCTTTAGATGTACGTATCTACCCAAATATAATTGCACCAATAAAAAAATATTATAAGAATTCAAATAATTATGAAGAAAACTGGAAACTTGATTTGTTACATTTTCAACTATTTTTATTTTAACTCTCGTCTGGATCCAAATGTAGATCCACTGTATATTTGATAGTTTCAATAACATATTTTTTATAAAAAGTAAAATAAAATCTGGTGAGTGCAACACACAACTTTCCCTTACCGCTCTACTTTGAATATAAATTATTTTCTGGCAATGTTGGGCTGTTATAAAATTTCTGAAGTGCATTTTAAACGGTGCTACAGCTTAAATCTTACTGCTAACAAATCATTAAGACCATTAAAATAGAAAAACCCTATTAATTATACCAACAGGCAATAAAAACCTTGTTACTCCTTTCTTTTGTAAACCACATAATCCCAGCCAATGAGCTATCTATATATTGTAAATATATAGGCATAGCAAAATTTGAAAGTATATCTGTATATTCAACCTATAAATGGTTATGGATTGTAGGCTAATTAGTTATTAAACTCTTATTTTCCATTGTAAAGCTTACTAAAATGTAATTACGGGATTTTCATTGCCTGCCATAGATAGTTGTCACATTAATTGTAAGTGGATAATGTTTGGATTTGACAAAGAAAAAATCATTGAATTATTCACTAATTTAGTTTTCTAAAATGTTAGATGAACTTTTATAATAAACCGACAACAGATATTTTATTTTAATTATACTTAATTTCATTTAAGTATCTAATTTCTAAAGTATCTAATTTCTAAAGCATCTAATTTTATCTAAGTATCTAATTTTATTTAGTATCTAAATTTTATTTAAATGCAATATTCAATTTAGAGTTATTAAACTACAGTAAATGATTAAAAGTTATAAACATATGCTTTATGCATCCATGAAATATTTATATATTTTACTTCTTCTTCCACACAAGTACAATGAAGTAGTTTTTTTTTTTAACAGTGCCATTGTCTTTATTCGCAGAATGTTAAATCTTTTTTTTCAAACTTGAACATAATTTTAAAGACTACATTTTCTTAAGAAATTTCATTTAATTTCCTTAGGAACATGTGGTTTTCGTTAATAACAATAAATTTCAGAAATTATATTCTCGCCATTACCTTCTACGATTTTCTATATTAGATATTGTTTTTTTCTAAAATTCTTCACTTTCCAACGGTATGTTATGCGTATTCCTTTTGACTATTATTTCCGAAAATTCATTTTCGACCTAAATAAACATTTTCCCTTTTTATGCATTATTCAAATATCAAATTCTTTCAAAAGTTATATTTAGCATTTTTTTGTAACCCCTAGCAATGAAGGCAGTCAATTTGTTTAAATAAACCAGATTTAAGATACTTTGGAGAAAGACAATTTTGAACATTGGAGATTTAAGTATTGTAAGCGACATCAAGGGGAATAAGACCTAAATTATATTAAAGACCACTTAATTATACATTGACACATCATGTTCAATTAAAATCGATAGAGCCGTTATGAGAAAACTGCAAACATGTGTAACATGGTTGATACAAAGTATAACTTCCGGTTAGCGGATTTTAACATCCTAGGCATTAACTTAAATTGGTATTTTCAGTTTCGTAGGACTTTTCTTTTTTGAGCAAGACTGTTCACACACAGACACACAGACCATTTTTTGGGACTTAGTTATTTGGATTCAGGGAACTCCAAAACGTGTATTTTGGTTGAAAACTCAGATTCGAAAATTTTTAAGATCGCACCACCTTCTCTTACTATATATTTCATATATAGGTAAGTGAAACTAAAAAGCACAGTAAATTAAATTGATATAAATAAAACGACAAGACTGTATTGGACTATAATATAGACATTGAAACATAAAAAGTATATATTAATTTATTTGATCTCATTAGGAGGTCTTGACGGGGTGTCAGAGAATTGATTTGAGTGGTTAAGTCGGTCGTGGAACAGTCGGAGTCCAATTTATTTCCCAACTGGTCACTATCCATTCGGAAATTGTGGAAATAAATTTAAAATTTTAAACGCTGACTTACTGCCACAACACGCACAACGAACACGGCCTCAATTAATTATAAAAATGAATTAATTTATTTTAAATAATTATGAAATCTAAAATATGAAAATGGTGTCAACGGTTTTTCAGGATACCACTGAATACCAACTACCAACCTTTTTATTTTATAAAGCAATCATGACATAACTAAAGGAGCTATCATATAGAAATATAATTTTGAAAGCAGTTTTTTTTTTTTATCATGTCTTAAAATTTAAGAAGTGAAATAAATGTTTATTAATTATGTATTCAAACCAACGCTGTAGGTTATTATCCTTCGCTTAGGAATGTTATTATCCAATAATATACACATGTTGAATAAAGATAATTAATATTAATGATAAATAAAATAGCTAGATAAACTTAATAATCGAAGAACAATTACACTAGTGTGAATATATAAATAACTTATGAAAAAAATTAAATTTTAAGTAATATAAAATAATTCTTTTTAACAACTTTTATATATTTTATTTTATGTTTTTTTTGACGTAGTCTGAATGTAGTATTGCCTCACGATTATTCTCTAAGGGAAAGAATATTATATCACTCAATAAAAAAATAAAATAAAACTAAAAACTTTAATTTCTATACAGATTACTTACAGGAACTCTTTAGTAAATTCCATATACTTTGTGGAATCTTCAAAAATGTTATAATATAAAAATGCTGCAAAGTATTACACATTTTTTTTTTCGAATAGTAATATACAAATGTGTGTGATATGTCACGTTAGTTTCCTTAAAATTTGGGGAAAACAGAATATAAAATATGTGTACTCATATTGATTTGCTTAGGAATATTTTTGTTAAGATATATGGACACAGTCATTAATTATATCTTGATTGCTTCAGTTGATGTAAAGTTTTGTAGTAATCAAAAACCGAAACAAAAAGGATCGGCTTTGAAGTTAAATATGTATTAAACGTTTAGAACGCTATAACTCAGCAACCTATAATCCGATTTCAATGATTTTTTGATAGGTTAAAACATCATTTGCGGCGACTTGCATTATTTTTTTTTTTGCGGAGAGTGAATTAGATTGATCCGTCAGATGTTAGCTAGGATAAAGTTGGCTATAGTTGACTAATTGATATGTTTTTACATACGGTTTAAAATATCTCGGAAACTAAAAATCGGTCTTGCATACTGTGTGCGAGAAAATTGTTCAGCATTTTATCCTCTCTGTAATAAGCAATTCGAAATTGTGTCTTAACGCGACGCCGTGTTAGGGAAGTGAAAAGAATAAAATATTGTCGAAAACCAAATAATAACGAGGTTAGTTGAATATATGGGTTGAAATGTTAGAGAGGAAAATGTTTAGCATTTTGTCTTCTTTGTAATGAGCTATTATTCAAAATTCTGTATTAACCCAACACAGTGATAGAGGGTAGGAGAGAGAAACATATAGTGTCGAAAAACAAATGATATTATATAATATGAATGCTAATATTATTACAACATTGAAATTTTATTTTGACAACATTGTTAACAATGTATAAAAATAAGAAGAGAAATAATATAAATTATAAGAATAGCAGAAATTCTTGGGCATAGTGGAAAATATATAATTATATAACATCATATAACCTTCCAACTGGAGATTTCCATATAAATATTATACATTCGTTGAATATATCATAAAATAATAAATATCGCTAATTTAAATAAATAAGTTATAAATCATTAAGGACATTTCTAGATTGACGTTGCTTTGATGTCTATATTTAATGTAAAAGAACTATGTTATTAACGTTAACAATTTCTTATTAATCGAAATTAAACTAATTAACCCTAACTACTATACACCTAGAATACATGGATTATTAACTCCATGGCAAACAATGGCTCCACTTATTGTTAGCCATATCATCAGTAATATCAATGGGGAAACTAAAAAAATAGACTAAATATCTCATTTCCACAAGAAATAATCTAAAATCAGATAATAACAATGATTAAAAAACTTAATGGAAGTGGATCAAATGCTTGAAAGAATAAATAAAATGGACAATAGATAAATATTGTTTGATTAGTTTTGATGTAGGAAATTTACTTTCCAATATCAACTGGAAAGATGTAATAAAAATAATTGAAAAATACTGTGATACAAAAGAACCTCAAATCCAAATTACAGGGTTTTATGGAATATGTGGATTAAAATATCTCAGAAGGTAAAAATCAAACATGCATAATGTAAACGAGGTAAATGTTCAGCTTGAGAACCTCCTAATAATGAGCTATTATTTATAATTTATATTTCATATAATTAATCTCGCCTTGTAGCTTTTTTCACATCTATTGTGTGGTCTAAAGCACACACCTTAGATATTTTTTTAGAGAATTTCATTAGCTTTCATATAAATAAACAAATAAAAAATTCAAAAGTTTATAATCGTTTGCTACCCCTAAATATATTTCTGCATTCATCGATTTTTTTTCAGCTTCTTTTGGACGAAGTATGTCATATCATAAGTCTAAATGGCTTCAAGGACAAGTTAAAGCAGTTTTGGTGCTTGGTGGTTTGGTGCGAAAGGGTAGATTGTGAAGTCAAGTTTTGAAAATCACCCTGGTCTCTGATTTCGGTACAGAATCTCAAAACAATCGACTCAGTATATTTGGAGAAAAGGCTTGGACGACATACGCTTCCTATACATCTTCAAATGGAAAATCTCCAATTTTAAGAAGTGGTTGTTTTTTTTATCAACTAGGAAGGTTCATCATTGAAAATAATAAACCAGAATGACGATATGTTTTATAAAAACATTTTTCTTCCT